TAAGCTTGTTCTAAGTAGGTGCTTTAGACCACTGAGCCATCTCACCAGCCCCTGCACTTGTCTTTAATCATTTTGATTTTTACTTTTTTGCCTTCTCAATCTGTGTATCTTAGAGGCATCCTCAATTCCAGGGGTTTTGACTGTTTCCTATGGGATGATGGTACTTCAGGTTTTTTTTTTTGTTTTTTTTTTTTGGTGAAACCAAGGATTGAACTCAGGCCCTTGCGCTTGCCAGGGAAGTGCTAACTCTACTGAGCCATCTCCCTGGCCCTCTCAGTTTGTATTTGTAATCCTTTTTTAGATCACTTCACCTGAATTCTCATATCTGTCATCTCTGTATGTCTGTTTGTTCCTTTTTTTCTAGGTAAGTTTCTCTTTGTAGTTCAGACTAGCCTTGAACTTACTTATGTAGCCCAGTTTGACCTTGAATTCACTATGATCATCCTGCCTCAGCCTCCCAAAAGCTAGGATTACAGGCCACCATGCCCGGCCTGAATTCTTCTTTCTTTTTTTTTTTTAATTTATTTATGTGTGTGTGTATGTGTGTGTGTGTGGCCAGCTCAGCCCACCAGAGGGCGGGCTGGCTGGCATGTGGTGCTGGGGGATTGAACCGCGGTTGCTGATGCTTTGCTAAGCTTGTTCTAAGTAGGTGCTTTAGACCACTGAGCCATCTCACCAGCCCCTGAATTCTTATTTCTGACTGTAGTTTAAAACTACCGCTTTTTTATTTTTATATTTTAACTTCCTGTAATGCTGGGGTTTAAACCCAAGATCTTCTGCATGGGAGGGAAGTGTTCTTATCACTGAGCTTCCTCCCCATTCCTGGGGGATTTTTGTTTTTGTAGCAAGGCCAGAGTCTGAGTTTTATTGTCATCCCACTACTCAAGCCTTGACAGTGAACTTATTTGTAGAGTGTACAGCTGCTCCTTCCACTGCTGCTGCTGCTTGGGCTTCAGCTTTTCATGCTTGTTGAGCTGGCAGCACATGGCTCGTGTCTTTTCGGCACGCTGGTCCAGGGGCTTGTACTTCTTGCCCTTTTAATATTTCCTAAGACTCTGTTTCTGGGTCTGGTTGATGATGGTGAGAACATGGGCAGTGGATTTGCAGAGAACTCCGATCTTTTTTTTTATTATTA